CCCAGTGACACTCCTGCGCCCTTACCAAAGGCCGGGCAGAGTGCTGTCTCCAAAACATTCAGCTTTATTTTTTCCAGTTTTGCATGCTAGTTTACAAACATCCATCAAGAAGAAAATCAGGATCATTTTATATTCAGGGGAGGGAGGATTAGGAAGGGAGAGAAGCAGCTACCCATTAAAACATGCCCCTTTTTAACTCCTCACCTCTACTAGGGAAGTATCCAATTATTTCTTAAATGACCCCCATATTTTTTGCTTCAGCCTCCTTGCCTGGTTAGCCATTTCACATATTTATTATTCTTTGCATGAAATAATACTTCCTGACATCTGTTCCCAGTTTGTTTCTCTTTAATTTCCATTTATAGCACATTTTCCTATCCTCTGACCATGTTAAAATAAAACAATGAGTATGTTTGACATGGTGCAAGTTACTTAAGATCATGATCCTTCCCTGACCTTGATTTTTTTTTTTTCTAAACATGCTCTAAAACGCAGAAAAACATTTTAATGAACTTTGATGAAAAAGCAAGTGGAAAGCTCAGAGAATCAGCAAGCACTCAGCACTTCACACCCGTGCCGGCAGCCGCTTACCGAGGGACCAGCGTGAGGATCGGTTGGTGGTTACAGCCCAGTTCCACTCTGACAAGTATCAGCTGGAGGCAGATGGGGAAAGAGAGGAGCTGTGGGCTGCACAGTCCCTGCACAAGATGGAGGGGAGAACCAGGTGTCTGTAAGAGCTGAGGTGGAAGTGGGACAGGCACGGGAAAGGTAATGTTAAATCCCAGTGCAGTGATACAAATTGGCTTGGGTGATGCTTTCCCTTCTGACCAGGCAGATGGGAAAAGGTGCCCTTCCCGTGCTCTGAAGAGAGAGTTTGCTTTGAAGTACAATCTGGCAACTCCACAAACAATAAATTCACAAGGAGAAGCAATGAGGAGTACTTTAGTTACGGCACAAGAACATTTTATGTTGTCATTGCTATCTTGGTACAAGCCTTCAATATAATTTTAGCTCAGGAGGAGGTTGCTTATGAAGCTAAAATAAAATGGAAAGAATCAATGTAGCCTCCAACCAAACGCGTGTGCACACCTTCCTGTTAAGTAATAAAGCAAAACAGCGAGCCCGTGTCATCTCCAGCTGGTCCATCACCATTTTATGGACTATCAGGCAGTTCTCTGGTAGGGACTACCATGCTCCATACAAGCATTAGCCTGCTTGAGCACATCCCCTCCACGTCCCCCTGCACTGGTAAGCCAGTAAGTGTGGTTATACATCCTGCTGTGGGCCGACAAGGTTGCACCCCTGAACGGAAACATCTGAAACAGAAAACATTTCTGCTCAGTCCTTTTTAGCCGGAAGGGTAGCGGTTGCTCTGCAGTTTGGCTCTACAGCAGAGAGATGTAGGTGCCCACGACAGCCAAGAGCCACAGCAACCCAGGCAGTTCAGACTGCGGTGCCCTGTACGTTCCTTACCTGCCTCTGGAAGTTTTCTTCACACAACTATTTTATCAATAGGGCTTTAACCTGCCAGGTTGCCAAGGGTGTTTTCCTTTTAATGTGCACACCTTCCTGTTAAGTAATAAAGCAAAACAGCGAGCCCGTGTCATCTCCAGCTGGTCCATCACCATTTTATGGACTATCAGGCAGTTCTCTGGTAGGGACTACCATGCTCCATACAAGCATTAGCCTGCTTGAGCACATCCCCTCCACGTCCCCCTGCACTGGTAAGCCAGTAAGTGTGGTTATACATCCTGCTGTGGGCCGACAAGGTTGCACCCCTGAACGGAAACATCTGAAACAGAAAACATTTCTGCTCAGTCCTTTTTAGCCGGAAGGGTAGCGGTTGCTCTGCAGTTTGGCTCTACAGCAGAGAGATGTAGGTGCCCACGACAGCCAAGAGCCACAGCAACCCAGGCAGTTCAGACTGCGGTGCCCTGTACGTTCCTTACCTGCCTCTGGAAGTTTTCTTCACACAACTATTTTATCAATAGGGCTTTAACCTGCCAGGTTGCCAAGGGTGTTTTCCTTTTACCCGAATTCCAAGCTGACCATGCACACACTAGAAACCCTGGGTTTAACCTGGGGCTTTTTGAGGTCAAGACAAACATCGTGACAAACAGGACTAAGAGCAGCCAAGTTAAACTGTGCCCTGATAAAGCACCATCCTCTCAAACACACCGTGCAGCTCGGTGCCAGGGCTGCACCACTACAGCTTGAGCGATGGGAGGCTGATGAGGGTGGCCAGCCTTTGGGGAAGCAGGTCAGAAGTGGCTCTGAAGGCTCACCAGCAGGTTGCTCAGCACATGCAGGAGGGCTGCTCCTTTTGGGAAACCAGCATCCCCTCCCACCACCCACAAGATGCTCCCCTGATTGTCCCCTGCCTCCCCATGGCGTCGGGTAGGTGTGACTGAACAGGCCAGCAAGGTTGGCTACCTCACACCTTGGGAACCATTTAATCCTCAGCAGTACAGAGGCTCATATTTGTGTCTCTGCTCCCTGAACTCAGTGCACTTCATCTACTCTCCTGGGCTTTAAGCTCTAAGCAGGCAGAGTTCATGCGGGTGGATTTGTCTCACGTAGCCCCTGGTTTGGAAGGACAAACATGAGTGTGTGTGTGTCCCCCTAGTCTGCCAGTTCCTTCTGCTCGTTTCTCCCCTGTCACAACTGGCCGATTTACCTTTGCTATTAATCCAGCCCAGTATTTACAGCATCTGGAAGACTCAAAAACTGACTGACGGGGAAAAAAGAGAAAAGCTCCACTAAACTCGAAGGCCTGATTACGCACAGCTTTATGTGAACAAGGCTACCGCTGCCTTGGAGAACAGGCCTGGAGGATGGGTTGGAGAAGGTTTCACGTGTAACTTAGCCCATACTTGGTTGTGAATGTGCTGTACAGTTATAAAAGGGATTTAACAATCATTACCTATTTTATGTGCAGAAGCAGGAATTATGACAAAGTACCAAGGGTCATTTGTTTTCTGAGTTGCAATCTCTTTATTTGGTTAAGTGGTCTGAGTCAACAAAGTCATACTCTCCTCTATTTCCGAGAGTTTCTTCAGCATCTGGCTCACCTTGGCCTCATCAAACTCCAGACAGAGAAACTCCGATTCCTACAAAACAAAATTGCAAGAACAATAGTTGGGAAAGAGAATGGTTTTTCAGGCATACAATGGAGGCAGGAAAGTGAGATCTGGTTTCCTGACAATTTGTGTCCCATGTCTCCTCTTTTCCTGGTACCATTTAAATAACCTCAGTAGACCCAGGGGTTGGCTTCACACCTACCAAGCGAGAGCAGTCCGTACCGCCAGGCCAGCCAGTGGCTGGCAAAGAGGACATAGGAAGGCTGAGCTCTGCCCACCTTTCCTTTCAATGTAGGCATCAGTTTGGGTTTCTCCTTAGCTGCAGACTTTTGCAAAACTTGTAGAAATTTAACTATATCTGAGACTTCCACCTTTCTTTCCAATCTGGTGATCCCTAAAGCTGTTGCTGCAGATGCTAGGAACTGCAAAGCAGTTGGAGCCACTGCGCAAAGCTCGTCACAAAGGAGAAACAGATTTTATACAGGAGAAAACAAGAATCCAAACCACAGTCTTGTACAGGACACTCCACTCTGGAAATTCAGGAGAGTTTTATATTCTCTTACACACAGGCTCTAGTGTCAATACAAACTAGAAGCAAGTTAAGAAGCAGCACTGATTTGCTCTGAAAAGTCCTGTCACATCTTAAAAAGTGACAAGATGGATATTGGGATATAGTAAAAAAATCTTGTTAAAGGCCCAGAAAATAAAGACTACACATAAATAAATAAAGATTATATAAAAAGAAAGAAAGAAAATACAGACACATGTGTATGTATATATATAAAAACATAAAGTTCAAATGATATGGAACTCATTAATAAACACCAATATGAAAAGGCCTCCTGAGATGGCCAGTCCATTAGCCTTACCGACTGGTATGTCTATAGTTACAAAGCATTTCCTATAGTGAGTCTGGCAGAAGAAAGGTTTGAGATGGCCAGGAGCATGACTGTGTACTAAAGGTTGTTCCAGGTGAAGCACCATCCGTGACAGAGAAACAAACTGAAGATATTTGAAGATGAAAGTGCAGCCAGTATGGAGGGAGGTTTCCTTAGGAGACACTGGAACCATTTTAGCAACCAGAATCACTGTATATCCCCTGAATTTCTATATGTAACACGGGCTCTGTGGTGCTTGTAAAAGCAGAAGGGCACCTCCAGGTCTCATCTGCTTTCTACCAGACTAAAATTTCTATCATTATTTCAAAATACGTTTTTTTCCATACCATTAGCATCTTCCCAAAACACTGCAACTTCATAATTTACATTTATGGAATCAACAGTTAATCCACAGGGATAAAATCATCAAACAAATTAAACCTGTCAACTTTTACTAACCACATTCTAGGACTGTTACAAGCATTTTCCCCCAGGCATCAGGAATAGTTTTACCTTTCACCCTCTCTCTCCCAAAGATTCCTGGGTTTTTTCATTTTTTGTAAGAACCAAACCAGAAAGTGAGATATGAACCAAAACATTGACAGAAGAAGCAAGGGGATCATTTTGTGTGCAATTACTACAAAAGGCACTGCCAGAAGAATGCTAACGGGAAAGAAATGGGGTGCCAGAAGTCAGCGATCACGAAGCCGAGCATGTGGAAGCACATCATGAAAAAGTGCCAGGGCTTCTGTCCGGACATCAGTCACATGGAGAACTACCACAGTTCAAGGCAGAAATCAAAACAGTGATTTAAAACTTAAAACTTGAAACTTTCTAAGAAAGAAGACCTCGTAAAATGAGAGCGGCATGCGCTTTACACTTTTTTTTGGTCTTCAGATATCACTGTCTCTCCCCTAACGCTGCACTGGATGAGTCAGTCTTCGTGAAATGTTTGCTGTTGTACCTGCTAATGACCAAATCAGCCAAATGACCAAGGTGCAGAGATCAAGTTATGTATTTAGTATGCGGATGTTTCTGATTAGAAAAGGTTTTGTAGAATTAAGGGGAACTTTGGCTGAGTGAAGTATCAGTAAAGTTCAGTAATAGCCACGTAACTAAATACAAACCATACAGAAGATACAGATGACTATTAGGAAAGGCCTTTGCCCGAGCAAGCAATTATGCTCATAAACAGCATCCTATCGGAAACTATTACTGTAGGTTGTGGGGTTTTTAATTTCATTAATTGTTCGTCTCTATAATATTACTTAGTACATTCCAAAAGTAGCATTAAACATTCGGGATCAATAACAACACAGATAGGAAATCTAGGGCTTGGAAGCAAGGGCTGTCTTGTGCTGTTTTTCTTGTCCTTGACAACAGTTATTGACATGTCTTAGGGAAACACACCTTATATAAAATATCTCTGCAAGCATAATTACAGCAAAGCATAATTACAGCTGGCCACTGTGCAGAAAGAAAGTGTTTGGTGAGGAATTTGACAGCTTAACTCCATTCGGCAGTGGGCTTTCTTCTATTTCCTTGTCTTGATTAGGCACTGAAAAAAAATCTAGGTCGGACCTGCCTGAAGAAGATGTGTTTGCAGGAGATTGCATAAGAAAGCCTGAACGAAACCCTATATGTTCCTTGATTAGGAGGCACTGGAAAAGTAAAATCTCAAGCAATCCGTTTGAGGATTCCTGAGGCTTTATGAAGCATTGTGCTGAAACCAGATCACAGACCTTTGCTGGAGTAAACCATTCTCCACTGAAATGAGCAGAAATGGGCAGTGTCAGCCCAACCGGTGCAACTGCTGCAAATCAGGACTGCAAAGCCCTTGTCAGCTCCCCCAGCTAAATCCTCCCAGTTTTAGCAACCTTGTTTTCCCAGACCTGACCAGAAGAAAGTTTTGGACGCGCTTTCACAGAAGAGCTATCGCAGAAGCAGAAGCTTTTCTCACTGACCTAAAATCATCCCAATACCTGTAACACGTTACAAGTCTTGTTTCACAGACAACATCTGAAAACAGCTCTTTGCTCGGTAACCTGACCTCTTTCCTCAACATGTGTGCCACAGCCATGGGTTGATTTCTATCTTGACCTTTAGGGAATGAGTGGTGGTGCTATGCTATGCAGCCCTGGGTCATAGTCCTCGACAGGATGAACTCCAAGGCCAAATTCCTGTTGACTTCTGTGGCTTTCCAGCCACAGCTGTGCACCTCAAGTCATGAGAGCCCATCAAGAGACTTCCCCAGGCCAGGGTCTGCCCATGAAGCCTTGAAGATCTACATAAGCTGATTTTACGGCTTAATCACATGGTGAGTGTGAACAGACAGAACGTCCCAGCTCTGGTGGAGATGGTTTTGCATGAGCCTAAGGCATAAGGAGGCTTTTTTTTTTCCTCTTCAAGTTTTGTCAGTTAAAAGGAATGTAAATTCAGATAAATGACACTCTTGGATTACACTACGACACTGCATGCCACTTCATACAAGTGTAAGTGTACTCATAAAGCATACTTTTATCTATAAAGCAGCTAAAACTTTCCCATGTGGATTGGACGGTATCTAAATAGTTATCACACTCTCACGTGGACCAGCCTAAAATGTGATGGAGAGGGCTGTAAAACAGGCCGCTCAGAACTGGGCTTTAGTTTTACTTAATGGTTTGTTAGTTTCTATCCTCCACAAAGTTCCAAAGAAGGAAAAAAAAGGGAGAAAAAAGAAGATGGAGCTGTGGAATTAAAACTTCCCATTGCTTCCCTAAGGTCTCACCCAGGAGCAGGACAAATTTGGTATCTCTGCTCCTTCTCAGCAAGAAACAAGGCATCACTTTTGGTACTTCCTGTTGTTAAAGAAATTTTCAGCCCACTTGGATCTCTTGTAGTTAAGCAAACCCAAAATGGAATGAGTCGTTCATTAAAAATAAACGCAGAAGCTAACAAACAAGAACATCAACAGGCTACCAAACACTCCTTATCTGAAGCAACCAAACATGCGACGACAGCACCATGAACCCGTTCACCGGACAGGGACCTGCTGCGGTGAAAGTTTCATACCCAAAAGCATGAGTAGCGGTGCCCTGAAGCACGGCACAGTTGCCTACCAGACAGAAATCTGGACTTCAGCTAAGCCCTTCATGGAGATGAACGCAGTCTTAAAAGGCACGTGTATGTGCAATGAGCGGGGTCATTAGAGAATGTCTGCGTGCAATGGAAATGGCACGTGCATCCCCACTGTCAGGTTGGAAAGCCAAGCTTGATGCTCTCACAAAGGTGTGAGAATGGATGTCCATGTCCTGCAGCCGTCTTGATTTTCTCCCCACACACTTTCCCACCCTGCTCCCATTTCCCTCCTGAGCCTGGGCTATAAAAGGAGCTTCAAAACAAACATCCAAGAAACACAAACTCCCCCAGCCATGAATTAGGTTTTCTAGGTTTTTTTCTTTTCCAGGAACAAGAGAGAGCTGAAAAAATATTTATATGAGAAACTAAGAGAAGCACAACTGTCTGTATTTCAGTAACTACACTTAAAAAACCATGTATTTTTAGAAAACCAATCCTTACACATTCAAAACTTAAAAAACCCCCAATTATTCTCTATTGCATCAGTTTGACCAGCTACTTAAAATGGTTCCCAGCACTTTGATACATCTAGTATTTTTAAGTTTCAGCCATTATATTGCAAAAGCAAAAATAAACCCCTCTGAATTCACTTATCATTTTATACATATTCATTTCCACTTGATTCAGATACCTCCTACAACACTCACCATCCAGGGAACTTGGTCACTGCCAGGACTGCAACATAAGTTGGTGGTAAATTTGCTTTGGATCACGAAGTGTCTTGACTAAGGCTCATTCCACGGGCTGGGCTGGTGGCTTGGGGCATCTCCCAAAGAAAAAGTGAGGAATTCAGCTTTGTTAGCAAATGGTGGTCACGAGGGAGGGCTGGTAGTCAGCAGGGCGCCATGCCTCACACTCACTGGCCCAAGGACAGTGAAGGTTGCTACATGCACATGTTTGCCTACCCAGGTGGAAACACCTCAGACAAAGCTCTGAAAGAGGTAAGGAGAACCCGCTGCCAAGGGGTAGGAAACAAAAATTGCTCAGCAACTGAACAAAGGCACCAAGGTCAACACAATAGCCATAACAACC